GCGCAGGCTGATGGAGTCGTTGGTCTGAGCGTCCACTCTCAGGTTCCTCACTGGGTTGGGGGCTGGGCACAGGGACAGAAGGGAAAATCAGTTTTGTTTCCTGGTTCTCATATGTTCCTGTCCTTCCCTGACCCTGGAAGCAGTGGGTGGAGGTGAGGTGGCTCAGACCTGCACTGTCCAATATGGCAGCACATGGCAATATGGCATGAGGAGCCCCTGGGATGGGCTAGTTCTGGGCACACTTGTGGTCAGGGTAGAGGACTGATGAGGTTAGGCATAATAAGTATACGACTGGGAACATAAACCCCATTTATCCTTTTGACATAATGTACATCCTACATCCTTTCTACATAAATTACACGATGGAATGGTATAACAGACATCCATGCCCAGTACTAGCGGCCTATGAGTGGCACCTGCTTCTTGCTTTCCATCAGTCAGCTGCATTGTTTATATCAGGAGTCAGACTGAAGCTCTATGTGACTCAAATGGGCATGTCAGATAGCAGACTGAGTGAGTATAGCCCCTCCCCAAATGGCTGCCATAGAGGCCTAAGTCCTGGTCTGTGAAGTGGCAGGACTCTGCCGAGTTATGTGCAGCTGAGGTCAGTGTGACCCCAATTAAAATCCTTTCCCCTGAATTATGGCTTCTCACTGACCTGATGGGTTGCTTGCTAATTGCACCTGGTCCCAGCATCAGTTTGTGCTATCCAAGCAAGACAGTAGTGTCTCCTCCCTTACAGCCCTGCTTGGTGCCATCATGCCAGATGTTTGGCCCTATATCATTAGGTGACTTCAAAACATACCCTGCTCACTTTCTTCCCATGCTTGTAACCAGTAAATCCTGGCTGTCCTTGGGGGACTTTGTCTTTGCTGCCCAAAGCACCCCTGGTCAGCCCCAAGACCCAGCTTTCTCTCTAAGTCTCATTTCTTTCTTGATTCTTATTAGCTTTGTGCTGTGGTGGCTCACAGGAGACCATGACCAATGGAAGGGGTCTCTGGTGATGTTCCCTTTCCTGTTCCCTATAAAATGGAATTCCCCCCCCACATACACACACACACCGGGGATTGAGCTCAAGACCTTGTCCTTGTGAGACAGGCAGCGGCACCACTGAGCTAAAATGGAACTGTTTTACATCAGTCACACTACATGATAGATCCCATGAGGATCCATTTCACTTGATCTTTCCTACATTTTTACGTGGCTCATAGAAAACTGATGTTTCCATTTGTGGTTTCTGTGTATTTCTATTCAGCCACAGAACCTGCCACATTCTCCTGTCTACTCTCAAGCACCCCATCCAATCCCTACAAAAGGAAAGATTAAGAGCTAAGTGTAGTGGTGCAACCGCTAATCCCAAAACTCTTGGAAGCTGAGACAGAAGGATCAGAAGTTCAATTCCTGCCGGAAGAATTCAGAAAAACTTTTTCTTAAAACAAACAAAAAAATCAAAGAAACAAGACCTGGGAATAGAGCTCACGTGAAGGCCTTGGAGTGAATCCCCAGTAGCATGGATTAAAGAGCTTCAAATACTGGTTGCTTCTCACCTGTGGCAGCGCTGAGAGTCTCCCTGCTGCTGTTCACTCCATCTCTTTCCACCCACACAGAAAATGCATATGAAGACCCAGGATGCAGCCCCTCCACGGTGACACTGGTGTTGGCTGTGCTCTGGGTGTCGCCTGTGTGTCTGTCTCCAGTCCATAGGACCCAGTAGGTGAGGTTCTGTGGGTCTGAGCCCTCGGGCTCCTCCCAGCGCAGGCTGATGGAGTCATTGGTCTGAGCGTCCACTCTCAGGTTCCTCACTGGGTTGGGGGCTGGGCCCAGGGACAGCAGGGGAAACTCAGTTTTATTTCCTGAGGCTCACATGTTCCTGTACCTCCTTGACCCTGGAAGCAGGGGTGGAAGCCAGGTGGCTCAGACCTGCACCATCCAATATGGCGGCACAGGCCCCATGGAGTGAAGGGGCTCACTCCACCCGAGATGCACCATGAGTGCAAAGTGCACACCAAGTTGGGAAGAATCTGGTACGAAATTTGGAATATCAGATCTTCATCCTCTGCAGAGATCACTTTTTTTTTTTGGTGCTTGGGATTGAACTTAGGACCTTGCATTTGCAAGGCAGGCGGCAGCACCACTGAGCTAAATCTGTAGCCCTAGAGATCACATTTTGAAACAGAAGTATTTTGCATTGTTGGACTACACGAAATATCTCATAATGAGGATTTTACCTGCTTCCTTTTCTATTTTTTCATGTGGCTGATAGAAATTTGAAGTTTACATGTGCAGTTTCCAGTCACTTTCTAGTGAATCACAGAAGCTGCCATAGTCCCCTGTCTATTCTCAAACACCCCATATCAGTCCTTGTGAAAGAAAGAAAAAAAGAAAACAGAAAGAGAGAGAAAATAAGTTAGTTTAAACAGGAGCTGCCCCTCACCTGTGGCAGCGCTGAGAGTCTCCCTGCTGCTGTTCACTCCATCTTTTTCCACCCACACAGAAAATGCATATGAAGACCCAGGACGCAGCCCCTCCATGGTGACACTGGTGTTGGCTGTGCTCTGGGTGTCACCTGTGTGTCCGTCTCCAGTCCACAGGACCCAGTAGGTGAGGTTCTGTGGGTCTGAGCCCTCGGGCTCCTCCCAGCCCAGGCTGATGGAGTCGTTGGTCTGAGCGTCCACTCTCAGCTTGGTCACTGGATTTGGGGCTGATAATATGGGCAGAAACAGAAATGAGTTGTAGTACTTGGTTTTCAAACTTTCCAGTGTTTTGTTAACACCTGAACCCGAGGGAGGGCAGGAGGTGCACCACCCAACGTGCACCACAGGTCTGTGGGACTTTAGGGCCCTTGGGATGGGCTCCTTCCACTGAGGTGGGTGGAGAGAGCAGCATATACAAGGAATGGGCAACCATTGGAGTGAAATTACCAATGTCAAACCTCAGGGCTAGGAGCAAAGCTCAGTTGTAGAGGACTGTCCAGGACTGCACAAGACCCAGAGTTCAGTTCAAGAGCAGAAAAGTAAAAAGTCTAATCTCATGGATCATTGGGCATTTTATGTAGTTTGCATGTTCCAAGGACACTGCAGATGTTTCTCATTTAACAACAGAGTTCCCTTCGTACATCTAGATCCTGAATTGAATTGGTCACTGAATGAGGAATTGTGTACAGTATGTATGTTACAACATTCAGAACAAAGAACTGCCCAAAGGAAACTCCAACTTGATGACTCTGCTTGAATTTGTGTAATTCTTACATGCAGTACTGTCATGTATAACAGAACATAAAACTACAGGACTGTACAGAGCAGTACAATCAGCAAAAATTACAGTACTGTATAAAAAAGGCTTCTTGTACAAAAAAAGACATTAAGGCTCTATAAACAAGATGTACCAACTGCACACACACAAAGAAGACAGCTCCTAAGTCTGAAGTGTGCTTTCATCTTAAGGCCGAAGAGTCATTAAACAGGTAGGTCATTAAGTGCAGAGTATCTGCATTTTGCGCCTAAGATCTATATAAAATACCTGATGATGATGCATCTCACCTCTTTCTTTTTCCTTATTTGTATGGGGATGATAGAACGTGGAAACTTACATGTGTGGTTTCCATATATTGCTACTGAATCATAAAACCTGCCACATTCTCCTGTGCACAACCACCCCATAGCAAGCCCAGTAAAAAAGAAAACAAAACAGAGGCGTCCGCTCACCTGTGGCAGCGCTGAGAGTCTCCCTGCTGCTGTTCACTCCATCTCTTTCCACCCACACAGAAAATGCATATGAAGACCCAGGATGCAGCC